AGCAACAATGTTCACCTCAAATGCCTCRTCCAAGATGCACCTCTTTTCCATTCCAAACAATTGTTTTTTTTGTGAGAGGAAAGGCAATCACAGGAGAAAACCTATGCTACRAGGAATGCCACAGGAAGATATGCAGTCAGACTAAAAATTACTTACAGAAATAAACCAGTACTTCTATATGAAGAAAAGCATAATGGGATAATATATAAACAAGTCCAGACTAACAGATAATCTTTCAGTGTAGCTTTGCAAGTAAAGCATTATCAAGAAAGTAAAGAAAAAGTCTACAGACACTACAGAACTTCACACATGCTTAGGAAAAAAATAGTTTTGTTTATTCATGCTACCTCATTTTACTATTACATAATTTATCCTTGTCAAATTCAGCCTCATTATGATATATGGATTTCTCATGTGAAATTCCAGCACAGACTTGATTCAAAGCAGAATACACTCAGCTCATGAAGGTATGCTCATATGCAGCTCTTCAAGTCAAATCATCTAAAACCTTCAGCCTTTTGATGACTTCCACCTGTTTTAAAAATAYTTTTGAAGGATGCCTGGCTACTCAGAAATCATTTTCTTCCCATCTAATAACTTCTGTACCACAATTCCACTTCAAGTTTGCCAAAAGCACACTAATAGCAATGATGGCATGAAGAACTCTTGTCCAATCAAYGAACAGACAACTGTTTAATGTAGTCAAATAAAATGTACTCATCTGAATCCATCAGATCATGTTTTCTCCAAACTAATAAACAGCTGCAGACACAGCCTGCTTCCCATCAAATGTTCCATATATAACAAACTACACCTTGTATCTCTGATGGTTCACTAGTAATWTTTCAATACCATGACATTCAAAACATACGACAAGCTTATTTTATTGAAGAAAGGAATAGACTTGGACTGTCCAGGCCACAAATTGAAGACCAATCCAGAAACTGTACTGTAGGTGCCAAAAGTCTGCTGAATGTCAGTATTTGCTGGCATTTTTATTGCTATGAATACAAGTGCAGACCAACTTCTTCAAAGAAGAAACACACTTCAAGCATGACAGAAAAGGAAATGCTCACAAYTGCTATTGTAACAGCACAGGAGCAGAGAAAATAACTCCTTTAACACTGTCTGGAAAAGGTATCTCAAAGGAGTAGTTGGAAATGTGTTTAAAAGATGTAGAATCTTGAAGATAAATGTACATCCTACATTCTGGTCTTTGGTATCAACAGTACTAAAATCCCTAGCAACTGGGAAAAGSCAAAATTTTGATTGCCACTACCTTTAGTGAGACTGTTAAAGTATAAAACATCTACCCACCATAATTTTTTGTGACTTATTTTCAATTCATTCACAAGAAAAAATCCTTCTATGTGCAAGAATAACAGAGGAAGCCAGCTAGACTGAGACACATTTTCAAATCTCTGAACAGCAATAAACCATTATGAGTTAAAATCAGGTATTTACTATTTTTGCRTGATGGTACATGAATTCCCAACCCTCTTAAAATTTAACTGACTCCTGAACATACTTCAGAGAGCTGATTTTGAACTAGTGTGACTGTTACAAACTGAAATTAAGTGCATCCTTTCAGTGCGCGCAACAACAAACAGGACACTAAATCAGGAATAAACAAACAGGAAACAATGACCTGGACTACAATCTCTCAGAGAGAACAATCGAGAATCATCTAATGAAACATGGGATATCAGTGCCTAGAATTCTTATCCTATATCAATACCAAAAATTCTTATCCCACCCTCTTATCTATGGTTGCAGCCTGAATTTCCTGTGGCACACAACTCTGAAAAAGCTCYTCTGTTTTTATTGTGATGCTCTATGGAAGCACAGTAAAGAAAATTGGGATTAATGTCACTTTTAGAAGCATTAATTGTAGTTACAACGTCCACATGATTGTCCTTTGAAACAGAAAACACTAAAGAGCTGTATTAAATTTCTTTTCTGTAGCTGGTTACCTATGGTAAGAACTGTGAAGAGCTTATACTCATTTCCTCCCTTTGAGAGTTCTTGAAATTTACCTGGTAAGAGTTCTAACAGCAGCAGGTACTTATTSCAAGATCCCAAATAGGCAACACTAAATGCAACAGAAAATAATCCGGCCATAAATTACCAAACACTTACTTGCATTAATCTCTGAAAATGAAGTTGAGCATGGTAACCTTGAGGACAATGACAAACTATCTGCAGTTCCTGGKGACTGCTGACACAGCATTGTTAAGTAATGAATGACTGAATTCTTGAACATATCACAATCCCAATTTCTAGAAAATGTTTGGTGGTATGCTCAGTAAAATTACTTCCTGCATTGTGACAGAGTAGAAAAAGCAAAGAGTTGAAGCTCTCATTTCCAGTATTTGGCCCCTATGCGCAACTGATTTATTAGAATTAGAAAACCTGGGGAAAGTCTGAAGTTAATTGAAGAAAGAACATTGCCACATATCTTTTTTTTAAATATAATTAATATATTAAGGAATGTATGCTACACCTGATGCATGATTTCAGCAAATATAAACTCTAAATAGCTACCAAACAGCTGTATGGCCTCTTTTCCAAAATATATAGACAGATAGACAGTCCATAATGTAATGTCTTCAATTTCAGSACTAACATAATAGAAGATTTCCTGCTGATTTTACATCAGCTTGTGGTACAGGTGCAAAGGACTTAGGTTACTGGCAAGCATAAGGAAAATTAATCTAGAAACCAGAAGAGCAGTTTCTCACATTCCATAAACAGTTTATAAAATTAATTGCAATAGCACACGCATMAACTCCAGATGTATAACCAGCTATACTATCACTGACCAATGCAATCAGAATTCATAAAACAGCCAAATACCTCCTCCAAAGGTAATTGATATAGACAGATCACATAACCAATAACTGGGAATTGGTCCATCCAACTTACTTCTACAAGTTTCTGGGTTTCACATAGGAATAAAAAAAATTTGGTTTTCACAGAAAAAAGAAAACAACAGTCTTGCTAGATATCTCATGTGAACTGAACAAAATCTATTCTTTAGCTACTATTCCAAAAGCTATAATCTACAGTAAATTAATCACTAATGTCTCTTAAAACAATACACATACAGGCTATATTTTAGCCCTCTACCTCAGGTATTACAACTTCTAGAAGAATGCTCAACTGGCTCATTAAAAGAAAGATTAGATCGTAAAATAATTTACTACAGTAAAAACTCACTCAAGACAAGAGAAAAAAACTAAACCAGGCTTTGAGCAACTACTCTTAATAGAGCTACAGCCCAAAAAACTGAGGTAATGTCACAAACTAAGTAACTTCTTTCAGCATGCCAAATCCCAAAGTTGCATACTTTAGCAAGCTATCTGAAAAGATCTAAAAATGTTTCTGGACACTACAAAAGTCATGCTAGTATAGAAGGCCATAATGGATGAGCACATAGACCACATCTGTTATCTGAGGAAGTTTAGTCAGAGAATCTACGTAAGTATACTGCATCAAGCAATTCAAAGGAAATTAGCTACATGAAATCGTTTTCCAAAACAGTCAAGAGGGAAGCAGGCAGTCTGGGCTGCTTCTCATGTGACACCAAGACACACACGCTCAAAGAACAGTATGAGAACTGAATTAAAAAGGAATGAAAAGAGCTTCTGATCCTTTAACTTTTTCTGGAACTTTGTGCAATAGGAACCTGATGCAAAATTGTGTGACAAACTGTARTATATATCTCACACGAAAAACCCTTTCCACCTAACTACCTCTCTACCATAAAAAAAAAAAATGTAAGCTGCATTTCCCCATCATTCCTCAAGCTTCAGCCCTCTGCAACACACATTGTCATACAAGTTCAAGTTCATGAAATGCTAACATAAACACAGGGTATTTTACATTTAGATGTATCTCTGCCAGACACAGCATTCTATTTAGTAGTTGCAAAGCTCAAAAGGGTACAGATCAAGTATTACTCTCTTTATACCAATCTAATTTGGGATGACCCATAGAAAGTCACAGAAGCATAGTACCTTATCAACCACAGCCCACCTGAGATGCCTCATGTTAACCAGGAAGAAATAAAAAATTATCAATTATTTTACTGAGTAATTATCGAATCTAATTTTGCATCAATATCAAGAGAGATGAAACCTCATGCTTCATATAAACTTCAGAAACTAGAATGATGAGACTGGATTTTTCTAAATGCGTTGTATATTTATATATTTTCTCTGTTAGTAAATAGYCAGTTAGGATGCAATGCCCAGCTATCCCAAATGAAATTATGTTACCCTCTTTCCACTYTTCACATTTTCTGTGTTACATATTATCTACAAGATACCACTTTTTTGTTTCAAAGGTAATAGTGATACATTTTAAAATTACAGTTAATGCGTTTTGCAACACACCTGACAGTAAGCTTGGTTCTTTTCTTATTTCTTTAAGGACAAAGCTCAACTATTGTATAGATCCTACAATTTAAGCAAATACTCCTGACAACCAGCCTTTGGRTACAGTTTTGACCAAAGGCTTGCTGAAGGGGCTATTTAAACTCAAATRCAAATCACTTATCAGTACTGTAGCATATTATCTGACATCTTGTCTATTTTCTAGATAAAWTAATAGATTTCTACAAATAAAAAACACATAGCAAATTCCATCCTTTCTAGTGAAAGTTGTGTTTCATCACATAGCAGACTTAATCTTCATATTAATTCTTAGAAAGTTCCTTATCCCGTCAGAAGTCTGATTCTATTTTTAAAAGGAAAGCCCAAAACTACAGTATTTTATGTGTTACAAAATATTTCCATTGTAAGCAAGTTCCCCATAACAAAATTTCACAGAAATGAGTACTCCCTCTTTGGGCACACATTTTATCTGATAAACAATTGGTTAAACTTCAACAGAATAAAATTTATATAAACTAGTAAAGTTAAAAGATGGTCCAGGATTTTGCCACAGATGATATGTGAAATAATAAAGAGTGGATTTGAATTAGCTTGACACCTCACCTGACAGGCTTTCTTTCTCTCAGCAAATCTTCCAGACTCTTTTCACAATGTTCAGCTGCCACAACCAGTCTCTCTAATYGGAAAAAAAGCATAAGAGAACTGGAATCCAAATGAAACCCTGAGGAGAACAGACTTCTCACTCTACCTATCTGGCAGATACTAAAAGTATTTTGATATACATTGTACAGAAAATTACACATAATTAAATGTTACAAGATGTACAATTTATGGATAACACCACTATTTGYTGTTCACGAGATACAGAAAATTATCTTTCCACTATCAATCCAACCATCCATGCATCCATCAATCTCCTAACAAATACTAAAGCCCTCAGCCAATGTCAGTCAGATCTGACTGAAGAACAGAGTCCCACAGATAAGCATTTACAAATTTGTAGAAGTACAGGGCTGGGTTGATGAAAGAGACTCACAGTAACCCCAGCTTTGAGAAAAGGGATTCAGAGTGAGCACAGGTGCTTCAGTCCTGACCGGCCAACAAGCACATTACCAGCTCTAGCACCTCTTGCTCAACATGGAGTGTAGGGGTCCCACATGTTTTGAAGACTGATGGGCTGGCTCTGAATAGAGGGAAAACCAAAACTATTGCTGCACTGAAGACAACAATCATGCAGCAGGAAAAGACACAGGCATAAGACATTACAGGGACATGTGAGAAGACCCCTAGAGAAGCTAGATTTTGCTGCTTCCACTAAGCTGGCAGTCAATATTCACATTCAAAATCAAATCAAACTATAGAATTTCAAACATTTTTGTAACATGACTGTTGCAGTAAGATGAAGATGGAAAATTGAGAAGAATAAGTCATCACATKAAAGCTGGAATGCTTGTTACTCAACTCTGTTTTTCCTTTTGCAAATCAAAAGGCCATTTAAAAGCTTGCTTTGGAAGAAAAAAATGTTGAGATTGCCTTCTACAATGCTAGCAAAGACTTTTTTAAGTTTAATTTTACAAAAAAAAATCCATTTGAAAGTTGTTTTTTTTTATTTTTATATTCCCCCTTCAAAAGCCTCTTGTGGGGGAATTGATACATGTATTTTTTTTGCATTGTTTTTCTGCTCTCACATTTTTCTGGAAGAGTAGAAATTGATACTTGCAAAAAAAAGCTCCACAAACATTAAATCATTAGGCATGGAACTGACATATAGAAAATTCTGTCAGTATCAAAATTATAAAATTTGCCACCAAATTTCCCTTATTGTTTCAAAATTAGTAGCTGCTATTCCAATAATTGTTAAAAGATAACACTCTCAAGACTTGATGGTTAGAAATTTTATTTGCTATCCTTCAAGTCACTTCAATTATAAGGTTTTTTTCTTCATTTTTATACATATACATAAATCCTCATGTCATTTACTCTTCCTTATCAAAAAGGCCAYGTATTTCTGTTTTTTATTTCTTAAATGTAACATTAGTTAATACTTCCTAACCTTTCATTCCAAAAAATATTGTAAGAAAATTCCAGTTGTTGTTTCAAGAGGTGSTAGTAAATACAAATGAAAATTATTAAGTTATCTAGATCTCTTGACTGTGCAAGTGAAAAATCACATGTTTGAGGGCAAAGGAGAACACATAAAGAACTCCCTCCCCCACAGACTACCTCAGTGTTTTGAGCTGGCAATATCCTAATTTTGTAAAAATCTGGAACATTCCATCATACTGCATTCTAAAGGGAAAAAATTACTTGTTCTACTTCATGAGACCCTGTAGCTAATCAAATACATACAATGCACTTYTGTATGAGAACACTGTTGATTTAAAAGTTAAAGGTGGCAATGACTTAAATTGTCACAGGTGTTGTAGCCTTTCTGTGGAAATTGAGTGATGTCCTGCTGAGCTTGYAAGAGAGTATCTAGAGCAGAAAAAAAGAATTGAAGTTTTATTTGAGCTAACAATAAATGTGAAAACAGTTACTGAAAAAAGACTTCTAGTGTTTTTTTACTAGAATAAAGTAAATAGAATAAAGTAACCACTAGTGGGAAAAATCTTTWAAAAAATAAAGAAATAATAATACAGGAAGCTTGCATCCAGGACACAAGATGACAACAGCAGCTGAAAATCAAGTACAAGAAACCTAACCATGTCAGGAAAATGTTCACAAGAGTACAATGCAGATGTAGGAGTTCACCATCAAAAATACACGTATTTCCATATTCCACACAAAGACATGTCAGAACACTTGAGAACAGGAATTTTAGTGAGGTTCAAGAAGCAGAAAGTTCTGAGCAGAAAGTTCTTAGCTTTTATCAGTTAGTGTAACACAACAAAACAGGACAGACAACTAATCTCTGTTTTGACTCAATAGAGAGGAAACAAAAGCACCAGTAGTGCCAGTCATAGCAAAGGTGTTCAGGAATTCTGAGACTGAAAACTGGCCACTCTCTGGTGCTATAAATGCAGTGTTGTTCTCAGTCACCTTAAAATACAGTCACCAAAAAAATACCCCAAACTCAAAACCATAATCATACATAAAATTTGCTTATTAAACAGATACTCACCATGTTTACCTCTGGTAATGTCAACGTACTGGCAAAGCCTGGGATGGGTGATTGTTTTAAGGATTTGAAATCTTCCTAGAATTTTTATGGAGTTAGGTGTTAGAGGGAGGCCGTTACTTCCACAGACATCATGGGGCAGAGCTGAGGCAAAGAAGGTGGATGCACCCATCACAGTGTCTTTTAAAGGGAACATCTTTTTCACAAAATCTTAAGCACTTCACAGCAATTCCCGTTCCTTAAGTAGAGAACACAGAGTAAAAATGTATCAGCAAAAGATACAGACTCAGGTTACTAGCTGTTCACTAAATATTGCAATTAAAATGTTTTTTTTCCTCTGTTATAGGAGAATGGGACATTTTTGCAAAATAAACACAATAATAACAATATAGTGCTGCTGCATCATAAACACATTTAATGATGAAAATACAGTGAYAGTTTTAAACACAAATTTAAGAATCAAATCTAACTATTTTTAGGAGCAGATAAATGCTTTAATACAAGCAATATTCAGGCAGCTGCTGCAATACAGTGGATTATTTACTCAAAAAACAGTAAAGGCACCAAACAGAAACAACCCTTCTAAAATATCACCTTTGTATGAGCAGGCCACAAATCCAGATTACCACAGCTTTAGTGATGATTCAGCATTTATATGCTATAGCATCCCCAATATTTAAAGTTAAGAAGAGTCTTCCATCCCACCAGTTTCAGTGCTTATTTCCTTATCCATGGGTAGACTGATAGTTCACAGACTGGCTCAATAACAAATAAAGGAAGTAATCTGCATTAATTATTTTTGTAAGACACTCAAGCAAAATAAATTAGTTCCAGGAGCACTAACTTTCACCACCATTTTTCTCTCCAGAACCATTCACTTCTATTCGAGCTAAACATTTTCTCTGCATTTTTCCATAACCAACCATTACACCATCCAAGAATATGAAAATCTAAACCATACAAAAGTAACAGAAACAGTGATGGTGAAGCTCTGTGGAAGTTGTGAAGGTGAAGCAGATGGCATTTCCATGTAACAAGGCACAAGAGGCCACAGAACAAAAAACCCACTTCATGAACAAAACAAYCCGGTAGAGTAGCACCCATCTCACTCCAACATTACAGCACGGATTCTGGAGGCATCTGCATATACTGTCAACAGAAATAGTTGGCACGGAAAATAGCACTGGCATGGAAAATAACTCTCTTGTCAGCTACAGAACACTGTATTTATAAGCTCYAAAGAGCAAATGCAGATATGCAAGTTCCGTGGGAAAAGAGAAGGAAGAACACTCAAGATTTGAATACCATCAAAGAAATAATACAACAAGCTTAAAATATAAATGTAACATAATTATTTCAAACTAGATGTGATAATTCTGTAACATTTTACAGACTTCATGAAACAAAACCCAAGTAAAATAAGAGCACTAGTGAAGCCATTTGATACTTTTTCATAATTCTTTCAGCCAGCATTGACCTGATGCTTTCAGGAAAAGGGATTCTCTCCTGAAGAAGTCACACAGGAGAAACAGAAGACTTAACAAGGTGTCACAAAATTATTCTTCCTCTAAGGGAACAATCTTGTTCAAAGCATAAAATACCCAGTAAAAAACKACAGAACTTATTTGTGAATCCCCGCTGAGAGTAACTCCATACAGGTTGCACAAAGATCCTTATACCCTATACAAATGGAAATTATGAAAGCTACCTTCTGTTTTAACTAATACAGTCCAACTTAAGATACAAAGCAAATATAAAAGACTGATCTCAATTCTCGTTGTTTTCTTCCCCAGAAGAAATACAGACACGAGACATGTACTTTTACRCTTTTATAAATGCAATCATTAAATATGAATGTAGAGCATTAAGGAATGAAACTTAAAAAAGGAAGAAAAATCTGAAGCAGTTTTGAGCAGTGGAATATTTATATGTGTATTAAAAGTCATATTTGTAAAGATACAATACTTTCCTTTTTCATGAATATTTCATACTTTTTTGTAGATTATTTATTTTAGGATGTGAACAATGCACACTATAGTTAGAATTTTCCTTTGGAAAGACTCAGTTGAACAGAGTACAAGAACAAAGATCTACTGGCATGCAGCAGGTTCCAAATGAAAACCTTTAACTGTGTACTCATAATAAAGACCCCCATTTCTGTAAAAATATCAATGTTTTTGCCATTTTGACATGTTCATTTCCCAAATGAACTACTCAGCTTTGGAAAGAAAATATGTATTAAACGTTTAGAAAAAATAGCTTAATTTACAGATCCAATTATAATCTTGCTTGGTACAATGGTCCTCTAATGCTTGCTCTAAAATAAAAGAAAAACAAGTTATCATGATCAGAGTTGATGGCAGGGAGAGTAAGATTATACACAGCAGCAAAGTGCATTATGTCTCTAAGAAAGTAAATATGTAGTGCACGATATATTTACTGAGGTAAAACATTCTCATTTTTACTGCAGAAAAATAWTGTTAGGTAATACTTCTCTAATTCATTTTTAATTCATTGTACTTTTCATATACTTTTCTAATTCATTGTACCTGCATTCAGCTGACACTTAGAATGGAATTTGAATAAGAAGTATTGTTAAATACCATCAGTTCAATAACCATTTTAAGTGATTAAACTTTCCCAGCACTCCAGGCTTACATAGAGGAATTACACCACCTGCAATGTGTTCAAGTAGACAACTGCACACTTGTCGGTCATCTCTTTTAGTGAGAAACCAGATGGGACAAAAACAGGACATGAGATAAGCAAATCTCAATCTTTCCTGTGGCCCCCCTGAAGGAATCAATAAAGAATGTTAAAAGGTATGCAATAAAACAGGTTCTCTCACTACAGAATTCCAGGGAAACCATGAAAGCAATGAAAAACATTCTCTCTGATGACAGAAATCACCCAGTTCTGTCAATTACTACCATCACAGTTAAGCTCTCACTTCTCCTTAGTTCTCAGTATACCTAAATTGCAGAGACTGAGTTAAAAATAAACGAAGTAACGCCAAACGTAAGCCTTCCACCACCTTTAGAAAGGGACACATATTACAGCTTAAAAGAAAGGATGTTTTAAAACAAATTTCTTTCAGTCTTGCCATTTTTCTAGTAACTTACTGACAGTTCTAAATTCAAACAGAATGGTTATAGRTATTTTGAAAGTTCACCTGAAAAAGGATATTTTCTGACTACTTTTAAAATTTTGGAGGTGGTTGTTTGTCTGGTTTTCATTTCTTTTTTCACTCCACATCAAAGTCTGGCAGAACTATAAACACAAGGGAGTGTAACATATTGTTCTTACTTTGATGCACACAATTTTACACTTCAAACTCCATTTTACTACATAGAAAAGACACATCCTGCATTAATTTCATGATTTGAAACCATTAATTAGATCTTGCAGAACTTCCCTGTTACTTTGAAATAAAAACACCAAGATAAGAAGAAAGGTTTGTTATTTTAAACTGWCACCAGAAACAATTGCAACAAATTCAATTTTGGGATTGAATCCTGGAAATTCAATTCTGATAATCCAAAACAGCAGGAATGGAAGAAGAAGCAAAGACTTGTCTTATTAGTGTCATCTAAAATGACTGAGTCACTGTTTCCAAAGCACCATTTATTCCATATAGGAGAGACAGTCTATCACATCTGTGAAATATGCCTGGCATAAAGATTAGAAGTCCAGAAGTGGATTTGTTGCATCCCACCTCTGAACAACTTTCCCCAGCTCCCTCCCTTCATCCAAATCCCCCTTAGAAACCTTTACAGTACACAAAAACACTAACCAAYATTCTCAGCAAAATCAGCAAAAAAGAAGAGCTTTAGAAATTGCTGTTCTATATTCAGCTCAGCACTATTTTGAAAATCTTGCACTAGACAGACTTTCTATGTCCATCAGTAAGAAATAAAACACAAAAYGGAACTCCATCTACTGAGCAATTTATTGGCTTCTCTGAATACCTACTGTTCTCAGAGAACAAATGTTTTTCATTCAGAAGTTGGCCTTTTCTAGCCATTATTTGTAACTTCTTCACTGCATACTTGCTAAGGTCATTAAGTTAATGGACATTTAGAACTTTGACCTTAGGAAAAAAAAAATCAAAACATAATAAATCTAACTCTCAGAAACAAATACTGCATATACAAAGAGACCAACTGGAATGTATGCATCCAATGAAAAACATCTATAAACTCCTAAAACATCTGCCCCATTAGTAACTTGAAACAGCTACATAGTTCAATGCCTCCCGTACTCAGGTGTAAACACCCCTTACGTAAGGAAGGCAGCTTTTTAGAATTAAGATCTAATTATAATCAACACTGCTTTGAATTATTTTTAAAGCAACTGAGAGCAATTTCAGGACAGCATGCAGCCTAAACACCCTATGCTTACACTTTTACATTAAATCATGGTATGTTAAACAAAGTAGGCCATTTCATAAGAAGAAGTTCTTCCACAAAATAATTTTGCTTTTAAATCCTGAAGTATTCCTGCTGCAATGACAGTAATTATTAATTTGATAAAGTAACTGAAATAGAAGATACAACTCTAAGTAGTGTCACAAAAAAAACCCCTGAAAATGAGTGATTTCATTAAGTTTATTAAAATGAAGAGGTATTGAGAAAAAGTTGAACTTCCTACAGATGGGAGCACAGAAAACAAAAAAGGGTTTGTTAGGACAATCACAATAATGAGGTGGGATTTTTTTTCCATCAGCAGCATAAATGTCTACTACAAATGCCATAATATTACTAAAGAAATCTACATATCAGCAGTACTGTCTTTATTTTCCCCTATGACATCACATAGAAAATTCTGTAAAAGAGGATGTTTTGAACTTTTCTAACAAGTAAGTAAGAAGTATTCTAACTGTATTTAAAGTTATTTTAAAATGCTAAACAGCAATTCCTTCATTAGCAATACCTTCATAACATCACTCAAGTGAACACAGTATTTTTTAATCTTTGCTGATTCCTTATATATCAGGATTATTTGGAGAATTTTGTCATATATACACGAATGCCTCTGCACTCTGTGTGGCATTTGCATAAGTTACTGGTGCTGTTGGGATCATTTACAATGGCACTACATACATTCAAACATYGTTGCTATGAAAGTCAACATCAGAGTTGGTGAAACTTAGATAGACACCTCACATCTGCAGCTACAGCATTCATCCAGTGGGAAAAAAATACCAACACTTGCAGAGCACGAAGAAAACATATAGAATCATTTTCGATATATACTGATAGTTCAGAACAGGTTTTTAGTCCCATTTCTCTCCTTTATTCATCTGTTATTTCTGTTTATCAGTGTCTTTTGCTTACAGCCTGCCTGCTCTGCTGCACCAGCGTCCCAATAAAGACCTAAAATAGGGTTTGTCACTATTTTATTTATACAATATATACGGCTGCTCAGGAACTAAACCTGGCACAAGAGAGAGAAATCACTTTCACCCGTTTCTCTAAATGACTCTCAGAAATGCTGGGGATCTTGCTAAGCCCTGCGACAAACTCATTGGCCAGAGAACTCCTAGGGAAAGAGAGGGCGACAGGGAATGGAGAACGGGCAGGGGATATTGGAAGGAAGAGCGAATGGGCAAGAGCATGGTGGAGGAGAAAGGCGATGGACAAGGGGATGGGGAAGGAGTAAGAAGATGGGCAAGGGGGAATAGGGATGGGAAAGAGGATGGGGATGGAGGAAAGGGATGGGAATGGGGATGGAGGAAAGGGATGGGAATGGGGATGGAGGAAAGATATGGCAATAGGGATGGGGAAGAGGATAAGGATGCAGGGACGGGACAGGAACAGGTAAGGGTAATGAGGGAAAGAGAAGGGGCCGGGTGGTACCTGCACTCACCGCCGCCCCCTCCGCGCACCGCCCACCCCGCCCCCTCAGCTGCGTCACTCCGCTCCGCCGGCCGCGCGCTGTAAGACCTCAGGGGCAGCCTGCGCCATGCCTGAGCTGCCTTTTTTCCCGAGTTACTGAAAAACAAAACAAAAAGTAGGGAAAAAAAATAAAAAAAAGAAAAGAGAGTTTAACACTCTTCTCCTCGTGAGTGCGTGTGTTCTGCCGGGAAAGATGCGTTWTGCGCCTTACCCCTGTGCTTGTTGAGGGGAGCGAGGCTTTCCCGGGCGCCTGCTTCCAAATCTCAGGCGCTCGCTGGAGCAGCCCCGGGAGCGGGTCCTTGTTCCCCGGGAGGGCAGCGGCGGCGGCTCCTCGGTTCATGTGAGTGTCCCGGCGGGGCTGCGGGCTCGGCCTGCGGGCTCTGCTCTCACCGCGCCCTCACTGCCCCTCACTGTGCTCTCACTGCCCCCGCTGGGCCTCGCCTCGGTGCTCCTTCGCCAGCCGCCGGGTGGGCTCCCCCGCGGGCCGGGCCGGGTCGAGCTCCCTGGGCTGGGCGTGCACCAGGCAGGGTCTCGCTAATTTGCTCCTGTTAATTTTCTTGGAGCCGCCAGCTCGGGTCGGGTGTAGGGGGGTTGCCCTATGGCGGTGGTTCTTGTGGGGCAGTACCCYGCGGCGGAGGGGCAGGATCACAGCYGCCAGCTGCAGAAAGCGGCGTTGCCGTCCTGGTTCAGTCCAAATGAGGGATTCTGTCGCAAGGCCCGACGTGCGCTGTAGCCATAGGGAGGCATTGCAAATTCAGATCCCGCGCTTTGCGTGGACGATCCGCCCGCACGTCAAGTGGTTCATCTTAAATCGGTTGTGTTCCTTTATTCTCTGGAACACTCTGTCAGTGGAATGACAGCATRGTGGAAGCAGCATAGTGGTGGGCTGTTCAAGAAAGTGCTATATTAGCTTGGAAGGTACATGCTTGGAGTATCCACTGAGCTTTTACGGAAGGGTTGATGGTGCCTCACTTTTGGTTAATTGTGTAGCGTTTTAATTGTGTAGCGTTCATTGTATTTTATTTCACTCTGTCTTGAGTGAAAGAGTATAATTCAGTATTTGGTCCATACTCGGTAGAGATACTTAAAAGGTTTACCATACAGGACATGTTCTGTGTAGGGGTGTGTGCATTGGATCAACAGGGATGAGGTTATGGTTATGTTGTCAGTCAGCTCCCCAGCATATGGTGACACCACTGAAGTACGGTATATATCGGATATATACCACTATTATATGAGTATACATGTCTAGGTGTATCAGTATTATATCAGTATGGATATCTGCATATATCACTACTGGATATATCAGGTAGTGTTATACCTGAGGCTGATCAATATGTGATTTTGAGCAGGGTTTAGCAGCTGGCAAAATAAAGATGATACTACTGCAAACTAATACTTGCATTTCTTGCTCTTTCTGTTGCTGTAACTCAAAGAATTTTTTTTAAGGGAAGTCATTACTTTTCGCAAATAGTTCCGTGTTTCAGGATACTTAAATAAAATCTGTAGTACAGTGAGGCAGTGTTGTATATTTTTTGGTAGTCTCGAGGGTCATTGCTTATCAGCACAGCTTCATCATAATATATTCTCTCCACCCTCTCATAAGTTAACAAAAAACTCTTGTTGCAGTAATTTTGACGTATATGAACTTTAAGCGTGCAGAAAGACAAATCTGGCATCAACCATAATAATTTTTAACTCCTAATTGTAATCTGATTGCTTAATGTCATAACTATCATGTGAATGTATTCAGTCATGTTTAGTCCCATTTCTCTCTCCTCTCCCATCATCTCTCTTCTAAGGATGTGTTACCTAAAACCTAAAGAAGGTCATATGCTGGACAACATCGRTAAAACTGAGGAGTCAGGCTAGAGGGCAGCTTGTAGGAACATCAGATGGGAGCAAAGCAAACAGCACCTCTTGTTTCTTGYAGTGATGTGAGATATATGATGTCAGTCTAACAGCGACCCCCAGAAACCCATGTGTTCTTCCACATTTCCACTGTTAGTTTTCCTGTCTTWCTGGGGGTGAGGGGAAATCAATGTTTATTTTTCATTTCCATGGTTACATTAGTATTAAACAGCAGGGGGAAGAAAAAGGTTTCTGATGCTTTTTTCCCTCCGGTATGACGGAAGCCATCCTTACTTTTAATTTAATATAATTTTAAAAAGATTTGAATATTTCTCAAAGCAGCCTTCTGCTTTCTTGTTTTCTATTAATATTTTGTAATACTTTATTTTACTATTTTTGTGCTTAGGGAGAAGTGCTTTCTTTTTTTAAAAAATCGTTTAAGGAGATTTTTAGTGACTGCAGATCAGTAAATCATCAGTTGAAGTTTTCACATTTTTTTCTCTTGGAGGACAAAAAAATGCAGTGCATTATGATGTTAGAGATCAATTTATTCAAGTGAGTGTAAATTTAATGCATTGGTATTTTACTTCATGGGTGGTTTCTTTATCCTGCTTTCACACTTAGCAGATCTGTGATGTATGTTAGTTGTCCCAAGTAAACACGATTGAATATATGGAAATCTCACAGAAGAGTAGGTTTTATTGCATGGTTTTTAATGTTAAATAAAACACAGACATGTAGAAGACAGAAATATGATTKGGTTTGTAGCACGGGGTGTAACAAAAAGACTTTAGCAGAAGAGGAGCAAAAGATCTTCTCAACTATTATAACTTAATCACCTCTGACAGATGTTTGCCTAGTCTGTTTTTATAACCTTCCAGTGATGGATATTCCACAGCCTCCAAAGGCAGCCTGTTCAGTCTATCACTCTTACTTGAAAGTTTTCCAAAACTTAAGTTTTCTTTTTCATGTCTGCGTCAGACCTGGTGAACAGTTTAGTCCCATTCTCGTACCAACTTGCTTTGTCTTTGAAGAACAAGACCAGGTCTCCCATTTATCTTCTCTTCTGTAGACTAAACAACTGCACTTCTTTCAAGCTTTTTGATCTTCTTTGAAGTGTCTTGAAAAAGTTGAGAGACAGRAAAGGGGAATCTGAACAAAGGCAAATCACTGTGCCAGTTGTAGGGGGTCTTGAGTATGTATGAGTTCAACATGCRTATTGCTTGGGCAGTCTCTTGAGCAGCTGAAGCAGTTTGCCTATAATAAAATGTGGCTAGTCAAGCCTTTTCTAAATTGCTTTTCCCTTATTCCATCTTGAGTCACTCACACTTGCTTTCTAGAGAAATCAAAAGTTTGAACTTTTTTTTTTTTTTAATTTAAGCTGGAGCAGACAGGCGTGGCAGGTTAATAGACTCCCGGGTGAGAAGTTGTTCTCTGTAGTTTTTGTGGTGTAATGTTGTGTTAATTGATTGAGTCATTAGTTGCCTTTATGCTTTTTGAGACATAAAGTTTTCTAATGGTGAAGTTCATAAGAATCATGAAACATATTGCAAGCAGGTATTTTCCTCCTGAAAATACCACCCCTGTGGTTGGTTCCAGTCAGTTGAATAGATTTGATAGATGGAGCAAGGGGAAGTGGTTCTTTTGAGCACAATAGAAACATGCTAGTTTGCTTGGGTAGCATGATGGCTSCAAATGTTTTGAGATTGTCACCATATTCATTTAAGTGTTCTTAAATTGTCCAAACATACATGTTTATTTATTATTTAAATAGGAAAAATTCGTTGCCTGAGCATGCTCTGTGCTTCAGCAAATGCTTTTAAGTTCAGTACAGTTAGAAATATCTAAGCAGTTATAACTGGTTTTAGCATGAMAATAACTGTCACTATTGATTACAAAGTTCACTGTGCCAGATTGCTGTTCACTTCCTAGGGGACAGTTGCTTATGATGCAAATCATGGCCTGTTTCTGGATGATAATCTGTAATACCAGGTGAATGGCCAGCACACAAAGAATCAGTGTAACTTACAGGATTTTTTCTAAATGTCAGCTTTGAGTTCCTCCACCACCACAAAGAAAGCATCTTGAAAAGGCATGCCTTTCAGGATTGGCACATGGTGGATGTTTTGGATCTTAGTATCCTCTTGCTTTCTTATTAGTGTCCATATGGAGTGTGAACATTATTAGTACAGGTATGAATTGCTTTTAAAGGCATAAGCAAGGAAATAATCTCTGCCTATCAAGATGAAAGGTAAGGTTTCTCTAGAGTTACCTTTGTAACTTAGAGCCTTTATAGTTTGAAATTTTGATGATTAAATGCATCAATGAGCATCTATCAKAACAGTTGTAGCCGTTTGTTGATACTTGATGTTTCGTAGGAAAATTATTTTATTACCTTACTGAAATGAGAATCTGGCATGTTCCTCTTTGCTGTGCACATTTTTAGACAGAAAAGAGCCTCTGCTGACCTAGCTTTTGTAATTTTTGTGGACYTCCACAACTTTGTGTATATTTATTGAATCATAGAATGGTTTGGGCTGGAAAGGACATTAAAGATCATTTAAATTCCTACTCCTCTGCCATGGACAGGAATACCTACATTCCTGGTCTAGGAATGTAGGTATTCCTGTCCATGAGAGGAGTAGGAACTAGACTAGGTTTCTCAGAGCCCCATCCAGTCTGGCCTTGAACACTTCTAGGGAAGGAATATCTATAGTGTCTCTAGGCAACTACTCCAGTACCTTACTACTCTCATTTCTTAAGTTCTTGCGCCACTTTGTATAAATTAACAGGCCTAGAAACTGTTCTTTGACTTCCAAAACTGTAGAGAGGTAAGATTAAACTAGCATTCGTATTAGAAAGCAACATGTACTGTATTTAATCATCATCTGCTAAACACAATTCATGTAGAACTCATTCTTTCCTCAGAATTCTGAAACACTGACAGAGATTCTATAATGGAATAGGGGAAAATTGAATTCCTGGCAGCTGGTAATGCATTAAACATCATCAAAAATTGCCTCAAGTTAGCACATGTCTTCTTGAGGTCATTTGCTTCAATCTTTTGGCATAAAACCACCTATTATGGAAGACTTTTATTTCCATTTCCTTTTCATCAGGAGCTTTCCCAACATGACTGAGTACGATTAATAGTTTAAAGCTTAGT